ATAAAAGTAACCCATAGAAAATACAAAGTACCCATAGAAAATACAAAGTACCCATAGAAAATACAAAGTACCCATAGAAAATACAAAGTACCCATAGAAAATACAAAGTACCCATAGAAAATACAAAGTACCCATAGAAAATAAAAGTGGAATAAAAAATACTAAGTGTACCTATGGGCCTTCGTATAATCTATCCTACATTTAGAGCAAAAAGTATTGTGGATGGTATGGTTGAAATATATTATTTGTATGCAGTGTGTGTATGCACTGTCTGGTGAAGACATGTTGTTTTTCTTCATGTTTCTTCTTCTTCTCCTCCTCCTGTCATTGATTCAACTCTTTCATTTTTGGGCCAAATAACATAAATTTGGCACGAAGGTAGAGTGAGCAAATACCCCCAGGCGTTTTTATTTTTCATTTTTGTGATACATGCTTTTAGAGTGATTTCATTTGAGCTTTTTAGAAAATATACTATAGCAGTGTGTTACCATATTTGGGCACGAGTCATCAGAATGGCATGCAGAGGAAGCAACCAATAGGCATGCAGCATTCCTCTATTCTTCTTGCTGATTGGCTGTTGGGATTTGATTGGGTTAACTCAATTTTAATGTTAAAACACCTGCACAAAGCCATAAATGTATTATACAAAATACAATTCATTTACCTTCAAATCAATTGTCATAGGTCCACAACAATTTAATCATTTAGTTCTCGGATCCATCAGCTTCCTTTTTGTCTGATCTGAAGATGAAATAACGTTCTGAACTAACTACAAAATACTCATATTTTGGTCCCAACAGTTGACTAACATGGCACTAATCTGCAATATTTCAGGATGCACCCGTCGCCGGCTCTGCTTAGCTGCAGTATATACAGCTACGGTCCTTGTGTCGTGCATCATTATTGGAGTCCTTCTCTGGTTAACTTTAAGGGGCAGCTCGACAACGGTAGGACTCTGTCTTGTAGCCTTGTCATGTTCATCGTAGCTGGTGTGTTTTGCCGAGGGGCAGTTTAACAGATGATATAGATGCAGTTACAGTTACAGTTACAGACATAGACCTAAAACAAAACCTAGTTTGCATGATCCTTTGGAAATAGGCAATATCTTACTGTGCCTCTTTTAATACAGTTTGGTAAAACTACGACGACTTCTACCACTACTACTGTGTATACCCTCACCTCTGTACCATCTGGAGGCCGCAGCTCTGTCCCCGCGTTCTCAACAGTCTCCAACACCACACGACGCCAAGGTGAGACTAGGACGAAAGTTTCTTTGTTGATAGGAAGGCTTGAATCAGTCAAGAAGCGAGTTTCAAAATTCCTAAGAGAGAGAGGAGAAACTTACTGTTCATGAATCCAGTTTGCATCGTCAAATTTTCCACAAGTTAAAGCCTGAACGCAGCGAGAACATTGTATCGATCAAGTTGAAATCGCCGAGGACCGTTCCAACAAGTCAGTGAGTTTATATGTGTTTCTTGTGTTTCAAGAATTTGGTCGCCACAAACATCTCGTTACTGTTTTTTGTCTTTTTTCCTGATAGTTACTCAGAAATGGAGGGATGACTACCGCTGTGGAGACGGTTACACTACAGGAGATGGGAGGACCGCTGAGTGTGATCCTGACAGTATCTGGCCGTGCTGCTCTTCGGCCAACTGGTGTGGGAACACTGCAGCTCACTGTGACTGTGCGGGCTGTGTCGACCACCGTAACACAGGTACTTAATAATTTATAAAAGGTGTGTCTGTGTGAATGTATGTTTTATGCGTGTGCCTGTAGTTGTATCCTACGAACAGTTTTTTTTTACCTCCATTAAACCTTTTTGGCTTGTATTCTTTTTGGCTGTGTGTGAGTGTTTCCGTAACTTTGTAATCAGCACAACTTAAGCAGGCCTTTATGGATTGTGATAATATTTGGTATGTTGATAGGTCTTAGGAAGACTTAGGGTCTCCTGGTGGCTGACCTTGGTACTGCAGCAGAAATTCCGGTTTTTATGATCTTGACTTTTTGGTGACAGATAGCTTTTGCTGTCAGGAATAAGTGGTGTGGGCTTTGTCGAAAAGTCTAGAAAGGAACAATGTATTTTCATTTTTGGTGTGTAGGTAGCTCAGAGAGTAATGTACATATTAAATAACTGCAAATTATGCAAATGAAGACATAATTTGTATAATTAAGGAGGAAATTCTTTTATGTAATAGTACCTTTATACATCTGGTGTATGTTGGCTATGGCAGGTGGAACATCAGCAGATAGCAATTATGCAAATGATGACCTAATTTCAATAATTAATGTGAACATTCTGTGATTCGTTATTATTGAATGATGGGAATCTTATACCTTGTGGCATGTGTAAGCTACATAAAGGTTATCACTTTGCATATGTTATGTTACTGTATAGGTCATTTGCATAATCAATGAGCACATGTTGAAATAGAATTTGCCAAAGGATAGGAATTTCACAGGCAAAGTATTGTAATTTGAGTTTAGAAAATTATTATTATGGTAATTACCACCTTATTTGCATACTCGATGAGACAAATGCAAAAAACATTTACAAAAGAAAGTTTATTGCACATACATGCCCGAGGGCTAATTGCAGTTACAAACAACATAAGAAAGAAAGTACAGTGGTATGTGAGACTATATCTACGTCTAGCATTATACTATATTCTACAACATGCATGGTACTAGTTTTACTTGGTTTGACTTCTTCTTTTTAGGCAGTGGAAGACGAATTTACCCACTTCTTCTATAATATGTGGGTTCTTTGATTTTAGTAGTAAATTTTTTTTTTGTGGTAGGGAACGGTGGGGAAGTAAGGGAGCATTTGGACACGGTGCTAAATAATTGTTTTCTGATGTCGTCATAAAATGGACAGTTAGAGATGAAATGAATTTCGTCTTCCACTGCATTTGAGGAGCAATATTTACAAATTCTCTCCGACACAGACAGTTTCATATATCGCCCTTTTTCGATTTCCAGGGGGTGGGCACTGATTCTAATTTTACTAATAGCGGAGCGCTGCTCGAAGTCACAGTGTTCTAGGTATTGTTCTAGACAGTATTCAGTTTTACATTTTCTATAGAATCTCAGTTTACCGGTATTAACAGACAAACTATGGAAGAAAGTTTGAATGTACATGTCTGAAAGTCTTGTCCTTAATACTCTATACATATGTTGAGGATCACAGGTTGTACTATCAATATGCAGTAGGTAGGAATATCCACAGTGGTCAAGGATCCCCTTCACTCGCTGTAACAATGTTGGTCTACGACTATATGTGAGGGAATTACGTTGAAACAGGAGTGCATCAACTTGCAGAGGGTGTGTATCGGTATTAAGTTGTGTCAAGTGTGTCCAGAATTTAAAAGTACGAAGGGATATATCTAAATCTAACGGGAGTCTTCCTAGTTCTGCTCTAGCAGCTACATTACTACAATTTCTATGCACCCCAAGTACATTTTTACAGAAACGGTTATGGGAACTTTCGATTGGTGAGGTCTCATTTACAGGATCTTTTCCCCAGATTTCACACCCAGAGACAGAAGAACGTTGTAAAGATTTGAGACTAAACATGGCTTTCCTTGCTTTGAGTGAGAGCTGTTTTTTTTGCAAGAGAGAAGCTACCGGATGAGGTAATATTCAGGCCCAAGTAGCAGTACGAGGTAGGAGTGGACTATGTCCACTTTGTCCTGTCCAAACATAAAACTTTGGTGTGGGAAAGACCGACCAGATTTGTTAAAAATAATAACTTTCGTTAAATCAACTTGAAGTTTCCATTTGGCACAGAAGTCTTTCAATCTATTTAGAGCGCTTTGCAATCCTTTATCGGACTCGGAAAGTAATACAACGTCGTCGGCGTATAACAGACACGATACAAATAAACTATGTAGAGAGGGCGGTGAGCATTCAATATCATCAAGTACATGTACTAAATCATTTATGAAAAGATTAAAAAAAGATTACACCCTTGTCTAACACCTTTCACAGTTGTAAATGACGGCGTTAGCCCGGATAATGTTTTGAGTATATAGTAGAGGGGATTCATTCCTCAAGCTACCGACATCTTGCACACGCAGTCGTCCCTCAGTAGGACATCTGGAGCCGCAAAGTTCCCGTTTAGAACTTTTATTCAGCCTGTCACTTAGCCCGGATGATGTTTTGACGCATGTCTGAGGTTTGGAGTACATGCATTTAATTAACTTATAACAATTTCCACCTACTCCCGAATCTAGCAATTTGTAGAGGAGTCCTTCTCTCCAAACGGAGTCGAAGGCTTTCTTAAAGTCAACGAAACATGAATAAATACGTCTATTTTCCGAAAGATATTTACTTAGAAGTGTGTCTATTACAAAGAGGTTGTCGCTCGTTCTGAATTTGGTCCTAAAGCCAGCTTGGTTGGGCGATATAAGTTTGTTTTCATCTAGGAAAGTGGTGAGGCGTGAGTTAAGTACGGAAGTAAATAGCTTGGCCAAACAGCTAGTAACTGATATCCCCGTCTACAAAAACTCCACGTATTTCATAGACGTATGAGATCTCCGAATTCTTGTTAATACTGTTGCAACTGTTGTCAACATATACGGCTTAACGTTTTACAAGAAGGCGTGAATTTGTGTGTCTTTTTTGTGTGTATGTGCGTGGGAGGGTGTGTTATTTACATGTTTGCACTCACACAACAGTGTTGTGTGTGTGTGTGTGTCTGTCGTCCGTGTATGTTTGTGTGTGTGTGTGTGTTTGTGTGTGTGTGTGTGTGTGTGTTAGTGTGCTTGTCGTCCGTGTATGTTTGTGTGTGTGTATGTGTATGTGTGTGTGTGTGTGTGTGTGTGTGTGTTTGACGTCCGTGTATGTTTGTGTGTGTGTGTGTGTGTTTGTGTGTGTGTGTTTGTTTGTGTGTGTGTGTGTTTGTGTGTGTGTGTGTGTGTGTGTGTTAGTGTGTTTGTCGTCCGTGTATGTTTGTGTGTGTGTATGTGTTTGTGTGTGCACGTCTGTACATGTATGTGTGCAGGTTTTTATGTAAATACTCCACATTTGAGTATGCGAAATACGCTTCTTTTTCTTTCTCATAGAAAGTGGTGACAGGAAGTTGGAGAACATCATTACCATTGGAGGAAATGGAAAAGAACCTATCGTGATGGCGTACGGAGTCGCCGTGTCTGCTGACAATGAGATATTTGTGACCAGCTTCAAAGGAGTCCAAGTCTTCAGCATAAATGGGAAGTATCTGCGCCACTTTCATACGACACTGCCGGGTAAAAATGGCGTTATCATGCCTTATGATGTTGCTATTGGTATAGAGCCAGGCCACCTGTGGGTAGTGGGGGTTATATTAAAGTCAGGTGCGAAAGAGGGACATGTGCAGGTTGTAACGTACAGTAGGAGCGGTCAGGCCATGAAGACGTTCGACGTAGGCTTCACGAGACCTTCTCACCCGTCCCCTCCCGTCATTGCGATAGACGTACGCAACAATAAAATTATCGTCGGACAGGGAAAAACAGTAAAGATGTTTGATCCAGACGGCTCTCTCTATCGGAGTTTTAAAGTGTTATCAGGAAGTCAGCGAGGTATGATCGGGGGAGTTACATCGGACAGCGAGGGAAATATACTGCTCACACTTACGCATAAAGCTATTGAGATATACAGTAAGTCCGGAGTCAAGATATTTGAATTTGCCGGAAGGGGTAAGGGCCAGATGAATTACGGTATTTGCCTGGATAAGTTTGGTAACATCATCGTAGCAGACAATGAAAACCACCGGGTAGACATGTTCACAAGCCGCGGGAAGTTTGTCCGTACCATCGCGAAGAAAGACCCGTCTGGTATCGCTATGGGACCAGATGGAGAGATGGTGGTGACTAGCGCAGGGTTGAGATCCACTGTAACTATCTTTCCACGACACATGGTTCTTCCTTAAAGCGACGGACTTGCATGGTGACTTGGGGCATTTTAGCTGCACTTTAGGTGATGCAGTGAAACGGTATGGCACCCCGGTGCCCCGTGTTGTATGTGGTGTAGTTGAACTGAAATAGCGATGGGAAGGCCTCGGTACAAACTCGAGCCAGTTGTTCCAAATTGAGATCATTTACCTTACGGTAACTCTACCACACTGTTTTTAAGAATGGTGTGTTTGCTTGTATTGTGTATTATGATTGTGGCATCACCCATTTCCATATCGTGTAACATTATAACTGTTAATGTTGTGTCTGAAATTGACGCTCGCCGTCGTTTTAAACATTATACATCACATTGGAATATTCTTGTTTTTGTATATTCCGGTCTGCTGTATCTAGAAGCGTGCTTTATCCGTTACCATGCTCAGGCACCATACTGGATAGTCCACGCGTATCCAGAACCGTGCGTGGGGGCAAATCTACGCTGGGCTATGCTGCGACTATCCAGAACCGTGCCTGATCCTAACCCTAACCCATTCAAACATAGAACTTGATACAATAAGGCCGACCAAACGGACCCCATTTTATCTGTACAGATATATATTTTTTCGCTTTCCTTGACACTTTTTACTCCGTGAAGGAGGTATCCCTCCTGCAGGAGTATTGTGGTAAGTCGGTTTTTCGCGTTCACAGCTAAAACACACGGTTCCCTTCGTTTAATCTGCATGTAATTTTATACGTCGTCCGTGATGTTAAACATATTTTTAGTTTCACCGTAGCTGTTTTCGTTGTCAATCTGATATTTCAGAAGCACCCTTACATTTAAAAGGCATTTGGGACTGGCCGCAAAACAATAACATTGTTTTGATTTTAAAAAAGTCTTTATTCCAATGATCCAACTTTATTTCTCATATTTTGTCCACGGGCTTTACTTCCAAACGGTAAATTGTTTGCTGAAATAATGCTATCTTCAAGAGCATGAAAAATGAATGTAAAAGTTAATTGCAATATTATTATTCGTCGATGAAGGTTAGACATCCAGGTAATAAGATACGCCAAAAAGCAGTTACTCAAAAATCAGTTTCCAAAATCATATCCAGTTGCTTGAGTAACTGCTTTTAGGCGTATTATTATTATTATTATTATTATTATTATTATTATTATTACGTATAACTGTCTGTATCTTCAATATCTGACCATCCAAACACCCATAATGATATGCTGATACTCTTGTTAAGTTTGTCTAAAAGTATTTTTTCTGTTTCATATTTCTGTTATTGTTACCTATTGTTTTTCATTACTCTAAATTATGAAAGACTAGAAATAAAAGACATGTGTTGATGTAAATAACTAGATCTTATTACCGTAATGAATGAAACTATTATTTTACTGATAACAGCTATATGTTATATTGGATTATGAATATTAAACGTAATGTAATAATACATATAAAACAATAAGGCATATAAATGAACATATTAAACCCTACATGTACATATTGAAGACACTTTTGACTAAACATGCCTAAGGCGACCAGCCAGGGGACCGAAGAAAAGCGGTCACCATGGACAAGTTGTAGCCTCACAACATGACTAAGACATAAAAATGGTTTCCAATGCCAAGTCGAGTCTTTGCATCAAATGCTGTAAGCATCTTCAGTTCCGTGGTAAATTGATCTGGGGAGGGTGGCACATGGCACAAAAACATCGTATAGCTGTTTTTTTCAATGATTTCTCATTAGTTACCATATCGCCATGGGCATGCAAGTATCGGGTCTTGAGCGGTTGGTCAGGTGGTCACATTGGACAGGTCACTAATGCTTGTATCAATGGGGAAATTTTTTGGGACCGAGAAAAAGCGGTCACCATGGCCAGGTGACCAGCTTGAAGAGGTGACCAGCTTGAAGAGGGAGTTTTGACTGTTACTTTTACGGCAAAATGCCAATCCCAGTTGATTTAACTTGTAAAAAATTAATGTCAACATAATAAAATTAGAAGTCGTGGATTTCATTACTTCGTCCCCTGTCATTTTTGTTAACGTTGGCTTTCTGTTACAGTAATTTGGATCATTTGTGTCTGAGTATCAATGTACAGTGGGAAGGTTCCTAGCCCCCCTCCCTTTAGTATCTTATTCTTAGCCTTGTATCAAGTCTAGCCCATCGTTGATTAGGTGCACATGGGCTTTCTTCGGGTTTTGGCCTGGAAGCTCTCCGCCGCCTGGCTTGTACACCCGTGGCGGCAATATGCTGGTGCAGTTCTTCATTGAACTACTAGAGGCCGCTTTTGATCCGTGCAATTCGCTTGTGGTGCCTGCCTCTGGTGACCTGCGCCTCTAGTCGCAACATCCTCTACTCCATTTGTAATTCTAGATCTTAAGTCTTACCTTTTTAGCCTCATATCCAGTCTAGTCCATCGGGGATTGGGTGGATTTTCTTTGGTGC